GGTATTCAGTAAAGCGGCTAATGCATAGGAGTTGAACCTTTTGTTAACACGCCTTCAAATGCTTGGACCTATCGCCTTTCCGTTCTTTCGCCTTTCTTCCACTTGGGAACTGAGTTAACTGAAAACCAGTGTCAGAGTGTGTGTGTCCTGGGATTCATTGAAGCCTTCTTTTCGATGTATACGGATCCACTTCTTTTGGATGTTCGGAGGTCGTATGTCCGGCATGTCAGAAATCCCCAAAGAGTGTTCCGGCTCAGCCGGATGACCGTGTAGACCCTTCAGACACCTTCTATGCCTTCATGACCAAGTGAGATTGTTGACCCTGAGGATGAGAAAGCGTGGATCGATCCATCCGGTTTCTTCCAAGACCTTCCCGCCCGCTGTCCGCCGGTGAGACGGCCAGCTGCAAAAGCGCGGCATCCTCGACGTCGGTGTGCACGTGCTGCGCGGCCCTGGGCCGAGGCATGCCGAGGCGTGCCGAGCTGGGCATAGGGAGTCAACATGATTTCACCTTCAAAGGCTTCATTCAGGTCAAAAAACGGTTGCAAGTGTCAACTGGGCTTCGGAACAGTGCGGAAATCTCTGCTTTCACTTTTCATAGAACTTTCCTTTAAGTTTACAAAGTTCCTTTCGAACTTTGTTTTTCAACAAACAACTGTTTCAGGCAAGCCGCAAAGGCACCTGTTCCTTTCAACTGCTTGATCATAAAGAAACCAACTGTTTGAAAAGAACCAGTCTAACCCAAAGACCCGGTCGGCTCCAAGGGTCCCTCCCTCCAACACCACCAGCTAGTCATGAGGCTCCACGACCACTGCTAGGACGTTGTTCGAGTTGTTTGATACCAAGTTCGGCTTTCGCAGGCGAGAACGTCTCGTGGCTAGGGCACGTAATTCTATAATTATGGGCTATGGGGCATTGCCCATGTTGGTCAAAACAACACATGCGGTTTTGCACAAACCGTCACGGAGTCATCTGCATTCTGCATCACATGGAAGGCCGGGAAGGGGGGAACCCCCCCGAGGTCGAGGTCCATACCACGAGGCTTGGGAGGGTTGGATCCCCGAAGCTTGGACTGGTCAACTGACTTCATTTTACTATGGCTATTTATTATTCTCCTCCATGCTCCTCCGGTCCATGGTCGGTCCATCCACTCTCCATCGATTACATGGAGGGACGATAAAAAGAACATGCATAAAAAACGCACAGTGCAGGTCTGTTTATGGTCAGAGTCAGAGATATCAATAAATTAATGCCAAAGGAGGGCACTGGGGGGCACTGAGGGCACATTGGGTCGGTCGCGCTGAGAAGCTGTCAGTGGGAGAGTCAACTACAGCATGGCTGTGTCTGAGGACATGACTGACTCTCCAAAACCCGTTCAAAAGGTGTGATAGGCCTCCTTGCCTAATTCTACATGAGGACCGTAGAAACGTTTCCTGCACGTGTGGTCACACAGCTAAAACTAACCTTCCACTTCCACCAGTTTTCAAGCCATTACATTTCAAACATGTATAGACACTTGATCAACCAGCATTTTCTCAATGGACCCGACCCTTGGCCTGAAAAAACAAGAACACCTTCGACGTCCCGAAAAGTTCAGACCCTCGCATGATGTTTTGATTTGGTTTTCTTGATGGGTTGAAACGCCTGATCTTCGTCCAACACCCAACAATACGAAGCCCATGGAAGTCCCAGTCACACTGGAAGCTCCAGGCCACAAAAGAAACTCACCAGCGCTGGTCTCCATGGAAGGTCGAGCCGCATGCTTCCAGAACCGGAGTTTGTGCGAAAGTAAGCCTAGAGAACATGCCAAGTGCCTACAATCCGGACGGCTGGCTGAAGTGTTCACATGCCAAGAATTGGAATTTTCACGAAACCATGCGAAACCGCCATGTTTTCCGTGCACCAATCACCCTAACCATCGCCCGATCTCCCGCGGGCCAAAGCAACCGGTTCAGTTGGGCGACCGATCTTCTCGGATTCAGAGCCGAAAATACAGCGAACAGGGCACACGGTGCAGTCCCGGCGCAGTAGTTCATAACTAAGGGGGTTGGGGACTCCACACTCCACAAGGTGCATAGGCTAGCACGATAAAGCCTTTTTTTCCCACAATTCAAGCTTACCTGGACCGGACCCTCTAACAGGTGTTTGGGGGTTGACAATATAGGGGCCTAGCAACTGCCTGGTGGCATCCAGGCACGAACTCCATGTATGCAAACCCAACATGAAAAGAACACCTGTTGCTCCTTCGTCTCAAAAAAGAAGAAGTCGCTGCAAACCCCCAAAAACCATGTGTTTTCTTGATCTTTTCATCTGGTTTCGTGAAGCTACGGACCCTATTGTGAAGCTCGGCTCGTCCGAACCGACCCTCGGAACCGGTTACGGACTGGTTGTGGAAGGTTTGAAGCGTCGTATGGGTCAAACCACGCGGCATCTGAAACGAAGTGCTTCACCCGAAAGCGCGGGGGGTGTATCAACCGAACCGTGATGGCCGACTATTCTCCCCAAAAAAAACATGGCGCCTCAGGTTTGAAACCACCAGACCGTCCTATAGTTGTGTAAACGTTATACTTCTCTCTTATATAGGTATCTTAGGGTCATACTTAGAGTAAAAACATGTGACAATCCCAAACCCATGGACAGTCTGGCGCATGGTGTTCCTCTGCGCATCACAGGTCTGACCCCACGACTTACCGGGCGTCGGAAGCATCGGGTCCTGGCTCCACACGCGGTGCATTCCTCCAGCATCCAGGCGTTCTCCAAGGTGCAGCGCCCGCAGGTCCAAACGGACCTCGCTCAGTCGGTTCTGCTGCGGGTTCAGCTGGTTCAACCGGTTCAACCAGATTTGGGAAGGGCTCCGAGGACATTCAAATCTGCAGGGATGGCCTATGTGAAGTCACCGCGTCCGTCAAATCCTGGTCAAACGTGGCAGTGTACAGGCTCACCATAGTCTGACTCCCAGTCTCCTTTGGAGTATGAAGCTCAACCTTGTTCCACCTTCTTTTTTACCGGGTTCTCCCAATCCCCCGGCAAGGTTGCTTGCAGGCCTTGATTTGAGCCCTGGTAGACCTTTGAGCCACTGGTGTGGCGACCCAAACATTCTGGCCCGCAAAAACATTCCTAGCAGTATAGCTGCCAAGAGCTTGAGCTGCTGGACGAAAGTCATGCCCTTGGACATATTGAACGTATAATCTGATTGCAACCCAAAGCAAAGGCTGTCAAGCCGGCGTTGGTAGGAACTGTGCATGACCAAAACCTGAAAGGTACCAGCCAGGAGAGGTTTGCCAGCCTTGGTTCCTGCTGCTGGGTTCGCGATGATGTTTTTGGTGGACTGCTAGTGACGCTAGCGGTTCACTTCTTTCAAAAGGACACTGTGGCATTGCTCACCAGGATCAGCTGCCTACTGTGGAGATGTTTGAAAGTGTAGGGAAGGGACACAAACTCCTTGAAAAAAATGAAGTTACTGCACCTACACTACACCCTACACACAAAACTACACTCCGACTCACTAACATGTTTGTAGAGGAAACTACAGTAGCCTTCAGTAACATAATGTATTATCATCATCCATCATCGTTGTCGTCGTTGTTGTTGTGGTCCTCCTCCTCCTCATCTTTTTGAACAGCATGATGACCAGGTGGCACATCTTTTGGGCCGTTCGGCCCCCCGTCAGATCGCTCTTTCCAGGTTGGGACCGGACCCCCCACGGCGCCTCTCTCAAACCGAGGTCTCGCACGCGTGGTCCTCACCGGCGCCATCCAAGACGGCCTCTTCGGCAGTGCAAGAAGGGAGACAGGACCCGGTCGGCCCTGCACCACGGGCGGAACGAACTCGCACATCCCCTGGTTTTAAGGGGACCATGCTTGGCCAAGTCTTTGATCTGAATGCTGGCAATGCTCAGAATCCCAACAAACGAATTGGACCTTTTATGCACCTCTACAGCCCAGAAGCAAAGCCGACAGAGACGCTGCACCAGACCGAACTTCTGCGCTAGTCAGGTGTCCAAAACTCGATGCTGATCCATCTACTGATCCACCTACTGATGGTCCACTTCTCTGGATCCACCACTCTCCCTGCACCCTTCCGCACACTGCGCCTGCACGCGTTCCGCGCGGCCCTTGGCGGCTTCGAGCAGCGCCTTCCGCTTGCAGCGCTCCACCACGGCCGAGGCCTGGCGGTGCGCCATTCGATGCACTTGAGCAGGTGCTAAATGAGGTTCCAGAAAGCCACCAAGAGTGTGTATAGAAACCTTATAGGTGTCTAAACCTCGATAGGTAGAGTGTTTAAGCACTATAGGTATGAGTGTTCAGAAACCTTATAGGGTATACGTATCCTCTACCACCTTCCGAGCCCGTGTGGTTTATGGACACCCCCCTTCTTTTTTGGTCAAAGGCTATAGACATCCCTGCTAGGAGGGGTCCTGCTAGTGGTAAGTGGTTCATGTGGGCTTTTTGGGTTGTTCAAAGCCCCCTGGAAGTGTGAATTGGGTTAGAGACTTGGTGGAGAGACTTCCAGCCTGGGGCCTGGGGACCGGCAATTCCGATTGGAGAGCATGAGCAAGGGTAGTGTCCCAGTGGATCCCAGGCAGTTCCCACGAGTACATAAGGAACCAGGGGCCCTTCCTTCGGTCGAACTGGGCTTAGTCGAAGTGGAATCACTGGTGACCAGCTATAGCTGGGGTCAACATGTGCCAACCACAAACCTCGAAACAGGGAAAAAATTGCTACAGTTGTGTAGGTGATGCCAAAAGGGGGCCCTGTCAAACTCAAACGTACATGGTGGCACGCCAGTCATACACCATACCAAGTGCATTCAGTTTGAAGGTCTTTCAGGCCCATCGCTCACAAAGATTGGCCACCAACACATGCTGTCCATAAGGAGCCAGAAGCTGTGGCTGCTCCCGACTCTGGCCACGCGCTGGGCGTCCGTCTCCACTTCCGTCCTGCTGGGCGTTCTTGGCGAAGACCAGGCTGGTGCCGGAATCCGCAGGCAGGCGGTCCAGGATCCTCGGGCGGAGAAGGGCAGGTGCAGCGGGTCCGGCGGAGCAACAAACCAAGCCCAAAGACTCCATGGATGCCTTATCTATATTTGCGTGGTTAATCCCTGAAATCAATTCGATGTAGGTAAATATGCCATGATGTCGACACCGGATTGATCAACCCCCCCTCAAGGTCAACAAGGTTTGGGATTGGAGACCACATCCCCTTAATAAAGATGACCTGATGAAAGGCATTTGGTGTATGAGTTTGTGAATGATTCGATGATACAAAGCTCTTGTGCACCAACGAGTGATACGTTGGAATGTTACATCACTCTACAGCGCTGAGGAAAGACTATATAATATACGGCGTAATGGTAGATGTACTGTACAGGCCGATTACCCAGCGCTGGGTGAGGAAAAACGAGGTCTGTGCACGGCGCAAAGGGTAACCTCATGTGGGGACTGCCCTGCGGCCAAAGAGCATAAGTAGGGACCCAAAGGAAAAAGCAGCTGACTCCATCTCTCTGGAAGTTTAAAAAAGCACGGGAGCAAAAACAGGGCAGCAACCAAGCATTCCCACCACTGCGCTCCCAACAAAGAAGCGGCGGCTCTCAGAAGGCGACGGAGAGGAGCTCCAGGGTGAAGCACAAGAGCCACCAGGGCTAGGTTTCCAGTTCAGCCCGTCGTCGCAGAGCCGCCCGGGCCCGCCAAGTTCGAATCAACACGCAGGCCTCCTGAAGCAAAGTGCTTCCATAGGTGGCCCCAGCTGCACGGCTGATATGGTCAAGGGCCTTAGCAGCTTCGGGCGCCCAAGCGCCCGTGGTCTCGGCAACCAATGGCAGAAACTCCACATGTTGGGCCTTGCAAGCAGCTGCTGTATCCAGGTGCCTCTTTTTGTGGTCGGTGTACACCGAGGCAGCCGAAGCCCCGCCATGCGAACCTAAGACGTCCACCCGCTGGGGCGCCGTAACGGTGAAGTCAAGTGCGGTGGGACGACCCAGGAATGCTGGGAGGAAGACATCGGCAGGCCTTCGACGGGCACTGCTCACATCATCTGGCCGCTGCGGCAAAAGCCGGCTTCCAAATCACGTAGAGCATTGTGTCGGAGGGTGCGCTCACCGCCTGCAATGCACATGCCAGCGTGGTGCCCATGGCTGTCCAGGATGGCGTCACATTTGGGGCACCAAGCATCAGTACTGGATTCAGGGACACGGAGGCGCACCCGTAACTCAGCAGTGAACACAGCGGGCTCCATTTGGGTCCGTCCGGAAGGAACACAGGTCAGGAATGCCCGGGCACCAGGGGCAGCCTCGGACAAGAGGGTGGCCTTATCCACGGCTGAAGCTCCCTCTAGCTGCGACGCCCAACCGGTCGCATCAATGCGGCTGCTGAGCTCGCTCTGAGATAAGGCCAAGGCGCCAGCAGTAGTGAGCTGCTGGGCAGGGCTGAGCTTAGCATTCAACTCACACAAAGCTGCGGCAACATCCCCAGAATGGTCGATCCAATAATTAGGATCAAGCTCTTGGCATTGTGGGGAAGAGCTGCCAACTGAAGCCAAATAGGCGGCAGGGGCATGTGTCCGCGTGGAGCGGAGCCCAAGACCAGCTTGTGCCAGACCACGGCCTGCTTGCTGCCATTGCTCAGGTTCCAGGTGAAGGCCACTCAACGAGCTAAAAGACTGTAGTACCAAGTCATCAAAAACCTCCAAGGCAGCGGCGTGCCCGGCAGGGGGGGCAACACCGCATGGTGTGCACCAAGCGAGCATAGCCGGCAGAAGCCCGGAGCAGCCGTAAGGCCACCTGAGGGTCAGCGAGTCCTCCGACTGCTTCCAAAAGCTTCCGCGCCCCTTCGACACGTGTAGCAGCGTGCGCTTGCAGGTGCGCAGGCCCGCCAATGGCAGCGCCTAAGAACTCAAAGTCCGTGAGAATGCGACTTTGGCCATCGGCACGGCAAACCAGCGCAGGTGGGAGTTGGGCCGCCACCGCGGCAGCCGGAGTCATGCCAACGGCAATGGCTTCACTTTTGGACAAATTGACGGTCAAACCCAAAGCCGCTGCAGCCTGTTGTAGTTTGGTGAGGGCGCCACTCACAGCAGCGAGTGAACCTGCCAAAACCCCATCATCAAGGTAGAAGACGGAAAGGTCCACGGGGCCACTCCGCAAATCAGCTGCCAAAGGTTGCACTCCAGCACTGAACAAGAGGGGGGCCCAAAGGGTCGCCTTGCTGCACCCCACTATATACTACTCTGCAAAATGGCATCACCAAACTGCAGGTTCGTTGGCTTCTGGTAGCACCAGGTGACCCAGCGGGCCAAGGCGGGGAATTGCTCCCGTGTCTCCCGAAGGACAGTGTCTCTGCTGATGGTGTTGAAGACGCCCTTGCCAGAACCAAGCCAGATTGCCGACAGATTGCCAACACCACTGAATGTTTGACTGTACTTTTGTAGAGTGCCAAGTTTTCCTGGGAAATGCCTGGACAAGCCGCAGCCAACAATTCTGTCTCGTAGAGAGCCACATCGCTGGTGACCGCGGCATTGAAATGACTCAAATTCTTGTCAAACTCCGGTGACTTGCGAATGGATTGAGTCAATCCGCTTTGCCAAGCAGAAGCCGGGGAGGTCTTGATCGGCTGTGGCTTTCGTGTATTTGACGGCTTGGACAGCGTACTTAGCGATCTCTGCTGTCACTGGCTCTGCTTCAGGCTCCAAGAACCGTCCCGGTTGTGCAGGATCTTCTGGAACGCCAAACGTAACGGCGATGACGTCAGAAGCTTGCTTCATGGCCTTAACACCATCGGCAGCCTTCTTCGAGACCGGCGCTCCATAATCCTCTGCTGGTATCGATGGATGATGATCAAATGATGATAAGATATGATAAGATTGGGAAAGATTGGGATTGGAATGATTGGGATGATTTGGAAAGAGATGAAAGAGATTGGAAGACAAGAGTCTTTCTTTGATTGGGATGATTAGGAAAAAAGAGGGTTCCAGGATGAAAGAGATGGAAAACAACATGGAGGCCAAAGGGTGGGCTTCATTAACAGGGGGAGGGGTCCCTACTATTAGGGGGTGGTAGGGCCTGTGTGAGGGGTACCTTTGTGAGCTTGAAAAGATGTTGATAGAGTTTTAGTCAGGGAAAATGAAAGCATTTTGCTAGCAATTATTTTGGTTTTTGACAGGGAAGGATGAGAAGAAAAAGCAGTGAGAAGAAAACAATGATGGATGAGAATGAAGATGAGAAGAGCAAGCAGAATGATCAAAATGATTGATGGATGACAGGATGAGCATGGGAAAAGGGTGGATCAGCATGCTTTCTCTGAAAGAGATGGCATGAGGCAAGCGGGTGGATCAGAAGATCAGTTTCACCATGGAACAAAAGATATTAGATACTAGCCAAAAATAAAAACATAACACCAATTGTGTGTTTTTCTTTTTTTTTTCTGGGGGAGCTGGGCTTGATCTATAGGGGGTTACCTTGATCTATAGGGGGTTACTTAATCCTCTGTCAACATTACATGGAGTGTTTGGGAATGCTTTGGATTTGGAGCTCTGCTCTACTGTTGAGGCTTGTTTTCGGGTGTTGGGAGTACTGCGACACGTGATCGCGGACACCTCCGCGGATTGGGCCAACACAAGCCAAGTTGCTGCTGCAATCTCTCTTCCTGCGGAAAAATGGGAAGCACAAGCAGTAGCAACTTCAGAATCAATGCATGAACTACCCCAAAACAATTGGATTACAGCTCCTCCAAAAACACAGGCCAATTTAAACCCAATAAATCTAATGAATGTACGAGCGTCCCAAGACATCTAATGAATGTACGCCCACTACAATAGTAATATACTAAATAAACATATAAATATATACATAATGGGATGAAATAGGAAATAGAACCACTTATAAGTCACAAACACAACGCAAAACAGGCTGTGGTGCCTCACTTCTCAGAGCCGGTTGATCAGAGCCAGAGCAGTTTCAACTCCTCAACCACCCTGAAGCTTCTTCAACGGCTGTGGAATGATGTACAACAACTTGCACACATAGTTGGATGAATTCGATGTATTTCCTTGTTGTTGCAACGGCTAACCACATCTTTCTATAGGATCCAAACGTTGCAGTCTCATCCAAGTAAAATCAGTGTCTCAAGTGTTGCTTTTTGGAACCTGCTTGGTGATGAGTGTCGCTTGGCATCAAAATCGGCCGTTCATGTGGAAAACATTGAAAAAGAACGCACCAAACCATCCCCCCATGTCTGGCGCCTTGGAGTCATAGTCCTCGCCACCCACCAGCCCAAACCTGGGCTGTGCGGCACCATGTGGGTGCGGTACCCGCCTTTTGGGGAATCCTGTTTCGCTTTCTACAGTGTACTGCTTGTAGAACAAAGTGTAGGAGGAAACTCTGTATAGTTACTATATATACCGTACCGTATATATGTATGCTGCCAGTATATATTTGATTTTTTAGGGACGTGCTCCGGACTACATTAAACATAGCTATATAACATGTATAATCTATAAATAAATATATATATACTTCAGGAATCTTGATATGTTCAGCATCGTTCAGCTGGAAAAAAGACACATGAAATCACATGAATAATATACCTAGACCTTCAGGTCGGGGCGTCCTGTCTGGGAGATCCACAAGCAGTCTATAGGGAGTTCCAGGCACCAGACCCCCTTGGAAAGGGTGCTGACCACCCCCCCTCACAGCCCGCATTCGCTGCCCAGTCCCAGGCACTGATGCACTGCACGACGGAGCTGGCGCACCTCCAAGGGCACCTGCGGTCGGTGGGTAGGTGGAGAACACGCTGGGTGGAACACATGACGACGTGGGGTTGGTGGGATTCACCCAGCCTACCGGGTTTTGGGGGGGGATGGCAGGCGACCCGAGTCTACCCAGTAGTTAGTCTACCAAGTCTACCATCCGATTCACTCAGAACATCACACGAGTCTACCATCCAAAACCCAAGACCATCAGAAACAAACCGCCCCAAGCCACGCCCACGGCGCGGCGAACTCGCGGGCACGGGGCGCGATCGAACGACCGATCGAATGCGATTGAGCGCGCGGATTGACCGCCGGGCCTCCTCACTACGCTGCGCCACCTTGGCCTCTTCGGCCTTCCTCCGCTTCCCGGAGCTGCGGCGAGCGCCTGGTTGACGGCCCGGAGCGGTGGAGCGGGCGGTGGAGCGAGGTACGGAGGTGAGTCGCATGCGAAGGGGGAAAGTGAAGAGCATTCATGGGAGCATTAATTGATGTTGCACTTAAACGCTGCCGAAACCTGTCTATAGACGCTCTTAAACGATTGAACATCTTCGTTGATGGGCTGTGAGAACCCTGAAAACATCCAGTGATTGGAAGACGAAACCTCTATGCACAGGATGTCGGAAAACATTTAGTGATCATCAATCTCTTGGCAATCCCGCGTAACCAACCAACAGAGGTTGAAGGACCTTATAGACTATCCCAGTTGTGTACCCCAGCAAGGTCCTAGTTCAGGTCACTTAACCTCTCTTGGAAGTACTTGAGAGACCTGGGACATCCTGGGGACCCTGTGGACCGGTTTCCACAAAACATGTGGATCATTGTGGAGCTATAAAGTTGTTTCAACCTCTGCAACTCGCAGGGCCTGACTTTTTAGAGTAGTGATGGCTTCCTACTGGAATTTCGGCCAACGAGCTTTGAATGACATGCAAGCCACAGTCTACAAGACCGGCTCGCAAAAGCCGTGGCACACAGCCTGCAGTCTCCTGCAGTCAGCAAATGGTCCTCATCACCGGCCGTTTTCTCCAACCGGTGCACTGCAGCGACCACCGTGCACTGCACGGCTCTCTCTCCGACCGGCGACCGTCTCAGTCCAGCCACGCCGTGGCCGCCGTGGGATCGTAATCCGGAGGCGTTTTGACACACACCACGTGAGGATCCATGTCTCCTTGGACTCCTCAGGGTCCCGAGGTGGGCATGGGCTGTCTACCAGGGAACTGGGTCTTCGGATTGATTGAAAATGGTCAGAACTCGAACTCGGGGAAACATGCCATCCTCGAGCATCCATGTAAGCATGATGATTCCAGGGAGGGTACTTGGAATCTCCATACGTTACATAGCATAAATTAGCATAGTTACCTACATTGAGTAGGTTTTGGGTCAATGTAGGTATATCCTATACATGGAGTGTCTGGGCACTTGGAACCAACCTTCAAGACCCACCCAGCGCGCTGCACCAAGTGTCCCAGCTACCATGGCGCAAGCCCGCCCAAGTGCGCTTGGGGTGCGGCATCGCCTGGTGCGCACAAGCTCAGTGAAAGGGATGGAAGCATCATACAGTTGCGAAAACAAACATAGACCCTGACTGTCTGGCCCCCCTGGAAGATTGTTTCCATCTACCAACCAGCGGTTTTCAGGGTCCATGTTAGTCTTCCATGGATGTAAGTTCTGAAAAGGTGCCATTGGACTGATATGGGACTAACGGTGCTCATGAGTCACATGAGGGAAGACCAAACCACTCCTTGAAGTGGTATGGTCCGACCATGAATGCAGCGCGATGTCGCGCTGCACAACCCAATGCTTGGAAAAACGTCCCGCAATCAAACCTCCCTGATGCAACATCCCATGTTAACCTGCTTCAGCCCTTCATATCCCTTCATCTTTTTTCAAGCCCAGCAATCAGCATATCACCGCCCAGCTTGCATTCGCCGGTGCCTTGCTTCTCCGAAAAGCGCAGATGTGGGGCCCCATCCCGGAAAATGGGCTTGTGGACTTTCCCGACT